CTTCCCGCTTTGGTCATGTGACCTCACAAACGCCTGTGTTCATATTTACATGTCCACTCAACTGTAAAACGACACAACTTTGTGGAGCTACCTAGTAAACCGTCGTGCCTACCATCTCTGGACTTATTGTCTTTCCGGGTTAGTCTCGTGGTAAAAGGTGTTCAACAAGAGCATCATCAAACTCCGTATAAATCTGCACGCCACAAAAGAACAACAGTCCTGACCTGAACTTGGTGCAAACTGTCAACGTTATTTGACCCAGAAAATTATAAAACCGAAGCCCGACCTGCGTCAGCACACTAGAAAGTGGCAATTGGTCGTTAGTGCAAAGCCAACTTTTCGCCCTACCTATACCCACTTCATCTAAACTAAAATATGAACATGTACAACAAGCTTAGGATAGTCCGCTGACAATCGATGATTGGTTTCCAGCACTTCATAATGCTCCTACTAAAATCAAAATTGCGCCATGTTTATGTGGTAATCACCGTGTCTTATGTGACATTGTATGCCTGATGGGTATACCACAGCAAATTTTCGCAAACTTTATTCCGAACTACAGGGAAGGCCAGTCGGGAGGGTGTCACCACATCCTAATGTAAGTGCCTAATGTACTAAAGACGGCACTGGTGACAGTACCTGGTCTCACCGACTTTGGTTTCATGCACTCGGGGAACAAAATGTAGCCTGCATAGCCACTAGTGTACACATTCGACATGTCGAATTCAGGAAGGCAGAAAGGCAGAGCACGACGCACTCAGGAGGAGAATTATTTGTAGACTAGTAGTGTCGTCGTTGGTCACGAGCCCTTGTTGTTATTTTTATTATAGTATGCTGTCATGGATAAAACTCTGCAGTGGTTAGATTGTGCTACCTTGAAACCCTATTACTTTAGAGCTCGTGACAGCTCTAGAGCAAAGACAGGCGAGACAATAACGGAGACGGCTGTTTATTGGTGCCACGCCAGACAAGTGTATCCTTGTGTGTGGATAAGCGCGCGCGCGTGCGTAACGGGCGACAGGCTGTTGTCAGGCTGCCTTTCATGCCAGTTTGTTTCTTTGCAATTTCCTGTGTAGATTAATAATATCGGCATGGTGCTATGCACATGGCATCTCATGGCGTTGATAGCATTTCAATCCCTTCGTTTAAAGCAGAAAAGAACGCCTAATCAGCAGTTATTTTCCTTGGACGTTTCTCTTGATTCTCTAGTAATTAAATTCGGAGTGCAGCGAATTTGTCTGTGCAAAGTTCATCAAAAGCTAAATGTAACCAAGTAGTAACGTAGACCACCAATATGTAATTTGCGTTGAACTCAGCATCCCATAAAAAAACTGACTAAAATGGTGCACGTTTCGCAATAAAAGGTGTTATTTAGAAAAGATGCTGCTTTGCAGTCTGGCTAGTTTTATAGGCGCCCATGTTAGTTCACAACAGAACAGATTGGAGATGCTCACGTGGGGTGCATTGAAGTTGACTGTGTGTGTGGGTTCTGCCTTCGTGTACGGTGGCGTTGATTGTGGTCGGGACAGATTGGATTTGCTCGTGGGTGAATCCAGTTAAGTGAGCGCTGGATTTGTGTGGAGTTACACTGGTGTTCGTGGAGTTACTGGATGGAGTTGCTGTGTGGACGCACGCAAACATGTGGGCGCCGATTTCGGTGATGAGCTGTGCGAAGTGTGCTTGCATTGTTTTGGGCTCCCCGTTTGTCCATTGCTCGTAGTGCTGTACTTGAGGATGTTTCCGCCCAAGGGACTCTGTTTGCAGAGTACTGTCATATAGGCACTTTGGAGTGTTTCCACAAAGACAGAGAGCGGTTCTTGCCTGAAACTATGGTCTCTTTGAGCCGGTATTGCATTCTTTGTGTAAACTATGGTGCGTCGGCACTGTGAATTGCGTGAGTGTTCTCGCCTTGAAATGTTGACATCACTTTTGATATCCAATCGCAATCGTGCCTTAAAGTTGTCGCAGGCTTTTTTCTCTCTTCCTGGTGGCGCAATAACTATGATGTTCCTTGTTTGTTCATTGTTATTTTTTTTGAGAGGAATGATGAAATAGCTAAACGAGACGGCTGTTAATTAGTGCCACGCCAGAAAAGTGTATCCTTTTGTGCGGATAAGCACGGGTGCGTAACAGACGACAGGTAACAACAACCAATGAGTTGTGAAATGTTATGAAAACAAATGATTAATTAAAAGGCTCCACCAGCATGCGATGCCTGACAGCCAACAGTAAAGTAACGTTCAACTGGCACTCAAACCATTAAATGAAGTTTAATAATTAAGAACACTCTAAATAATCGGACTTTAGAAGCTTCCTAATGTCCAGCAAGGGATACATTCAAACCTCTTTAAAATATTGTACGTAGAAGCTCCACTGGAAGGCGCTTTAATTTGTGCGTGGTTAGTATGCAGTCTGCATTTTAACTCGTGTATTCAGACGCTAGTTAAATTACGTTTAGTTTAATTAAAAATAGCTTAAGGAACAAAACTCGTAACAAGTGAAACAAAAACAATGCAGAATTTTTGTGGTTATATTTGGATTATATGATGCCTCTGCGTTAAAAACAGCTGATAACATAGAGCAAAAAATCACTGATGGTTAAACAAATCACATTTCGCAGAATTTGAAACAAACAAAAAGCAGTAAGAAACAGGTATAATGCAAAACAAGCTTTCATTGCAACGATTTACTTCACAAATTTCATCACAAAACGTTTTTTTGCAATACAAACTGTTCCAACTTTTAATATCATATCTTTTTGCCAAAAATCGTCTAATTTTGAAGTCATCGATTAAACTGTTTTCAAGTAAATTAAATTTACGCATAAGTGCGAATTGTAGTCCTTGGTTGATCTTATTAAACTTTAATTTTTCAAGGAGAGCCTTTTCTGTTCCAAGCATCTGTTGTGAATCGTGTTTATTCAACCCCTTAATCCGGTCGCTCCGCCTCCGACACAAAGTTCCCCTTTTTCGCAGCATGGCGCCAGACGCACAAACCCTCAACTCCCCCTTCATTAACACGAATATTTATCTTAGATTATCCCCACACATAGGTCTCGATGTTAGCGCATGTATGACTTACACATCTGAGCTATAAATACGCGCAAACCCCACAGACCCCAACACCTTCGTCAAGTTTTTGAATAAACGGTTAACTCTCTGTCCTTCCACGGACTTTAGCTTTGCTGGGCAGTAAGTGAGATAAGGCGTCTCAACATATCCTCGATAAAATTATTCGGCTTTCTTAAGCTTCAGGAGGTTTTAAAGCTTGATTTTAACGTTGAAATAAAGCAAAATTGTTGCACTGTAAACATTTTGAAGTTTGAACAAAAGATTGCAGATGTGATGTGTAAAAGTTTAGTGTAGACGAAGATCATAAAGTACGGATAAGAGGATGTCGAATGTGCGAACCATTTAATGAGATTTACTCTGAATTTAATAAATTTACAAATCAATAGACAGTCTTAAAATGTTTAAGCTGTAATTTAATAAATATATGCTCTTATGAAACACTTTGTAAATTGTTTCTTGGGACTTGTTTTAATAGATTTTCTTAAGCCCACATATTTTGAGAGTCAGGGGTGTGCATCCTTTCTGATCCTTGATCTGCAATGAGGGGAAGGGGTCGAGGCGTTGTACGCATCTTGCTTCTGGGAGAACGTATGCTTTCGGATTCGTAACGTTACATGTTTTAGCGCTTGTTGGCAAGACAACTTTAATATTATCTCTCGTTAGTGAAGAATATTCTCCAAAAGTAAGCTATTAGTCCCTGCGTCGTTAGGTTTTTTCATGGATGACATATTTATTTTATAGATGTGCTATAATTTGGTTCAAGCACTGACTTTTAAGGTTGCAGAATTCTCAAAAAACTGAGCATTGTTGGGTGGGGTATTATTTCTTTACTGATTTACATTGATGTATGACTCTATTTCATAGTATTAAAAAGCGAACTGTGAAGAAAATTCATCTATTTAATGATAAAAGGATTTGTGTCTGATATAAATTAACGCTAAATTGTCTGTAATTATCGTGTTTGATCGCTATTTATCGTTCTATTCTTCTGTATTGCCAGATGGTAATTTTCTTGGCTGTGCTCTTCATCCTCGTCTAAAATTTAGTGATATTCGTTAGGTGCCTGTCCGTTTTATACATATTTGAAATGTGCCTTAGCTTCCTTTACCACTTCTGCTATTTTTTTCGTCACCTTTTTTTACTAACCCCCTCATATTTTAAATGATGCCGTTCCTCAAATGTACCTGTCTTTATCCACAAACTAAATGGAAGCCAACTTGTTTATCCAGGTCCCAGCTCGAGCAGATGAAATTACTATTCCCGCAGCCGTCACTCCCGAACTCGTTCCAACGGAAATAGTTGATTTTTCGGCTCGCGTTCAAACTCGGGAACAGCTTGTTGATGAAATTAGAAAAGCTTCAGTGGTGTGCCTCGTGTACGCCCTCAACGAAGATAACTTTCTTAATCAGGCAAGTATCATTAATACCTATAACGCCCTACATTCCTGTTAACGTAAAAGTTTGCCCTGCAATCTAAATCATGTCCATCCATAAAAAGTATCAAGCTACTTAGAAGAGCGCAAGCTGTCCAATGCAAATTATGGTGAAAGATTACCTTAATCTTATACGCATATTGTTATAATGTTTTAATATCGTCGATTTACATCCACCAGAAAGCTTATTTTTATCTTTGTCAATTTTATCTAATGATATCCGGTCTGCATCGTTCAATTTTTTGAGAGTTTCGTGTGGTAATTCTGGTTTGACCAATAATGCCTTCTGACTTCGGAATGTGCAGCTTGTATGTCTCTTTGTTTAGGCTGAATGGTAAATTCATTCACGTTATCTCCAAGAAAAGCCTTTACTGTTTTAGTTGACCTCCCAATGGCTGCCGCTAATTCGTTCTTGTTTCGATGACAATGAACCCAGAGTCCCAGTTGTTCTCGTGGGTAATAAACTCGACCTTGTGCCGACTAGCAAAATGGAGGTTAGTTACTCACACTTATTATTATTAAACTCCAAATTTGTGAACTGTTGGTTGACTTTTATTTCTTGTTATAGCAAGTTCTTCCGTTGATGGAACGATTTCCCGAGATCGAGACCTGCATTGAGGTAGAACTTTATCATAATTTTTCGGAGCTTAATCTTTAATCCACATCACCTGAGCATTGCGTACTCTAATCATTGATATCAATATTCTTCTATTATATATCGTCGATTTCTAATAACTAAACTCAGTTTGCGATGTATCTTAATGAACCCTTCCGTAGCGCTTGTGTATATCGTATCTTCGCATAGGAAAATTCAAATCACCGTTTGTGCTTTAATTACAGTGCTCAGCAAAAACTCTTCGTAACTTGAGTGAAACCTTCTGGTTCGCCCAAAAAGCAGTTCTGTATCCAACAGGGCCACTTTATCAAGCAGAAACAAAAGAGGCAAGTTCAATTTTAGTGCTTGCTAAAAAAATCCAACTTTGTGACTGCCCACTTGCCCGCAATCTTGATCACTCTAGTTCTGTTTTTGCCATCGGCTATCTGGATGCAAACCCTTCACTTTGTTTCGAAAATATGTGCGCTGTGTAATACTTGGATAGAGTCCCGGCTTATGACCAATATTGTCAGGCTGTCTTTCGGCAATTTCCTGTGTAGATTAATAATATCGGCATGTTGCCATGCACATGGCGTCTTATGGCGTTGATAGAAATGTATGCCTAATCAGCATCTACTTTCTTCGGACTTTTCTTTTGATTATCTAGTGACTAAATGGGAGTGCACCAAATTTGTCTTCGAGAAAGGCTTGGTTTGGTTATGTCTTTGGTAGTGTCCCTTCTTACCTGTTACTTGTGAATCTACGAAAGTGTTTGCATTTTAAGCACTTGGGTTTTCATGTCGCTTGTTTCACCAGTTGTACTTTCGATTTGGTCATTCTACATACTTATGAAACAATCTGCCTCACAAATTTTAGTGTAATATCTCATTGGCTGTTGACGCGATGTAAGGTCATGGTTTGCTGGCAGTGTATTAATTTGAATGCTTCCCTCGGTAGGGGTTTCCCGGTAGTAGTCGATTCCTCGAAATGAACCGATTGCCAACTTCTGTGCTGTGCGTTTTCATCTCACAAGGCTTTCATCCTCATCTAGTTTTTACTTGTTAATCTATGAATGGCCTTCGAAAAGACCACCAATATTGACCAGCTTAGACTTTGTTTTTAGCTCACACCTGAGTGTACTCGGGCTTTGACACGGATATTTCGTATCTGTGATGTGGATAACGACGGTTACCTATCCGACAAGGAGCTGGAGGCCTTCCAGGAGCGTTGTTTCGCAATTCCTCTAACCGCCCAATCGCTGCTCGATGTCAAACAATTAATACGCAATTCTACCCCCGGAGGGGTTACAGTGAACGGAGTGACCCTTAAAGGTGAGGCCTATCTATGCAGGCCTAATGTCTAGTCCCGACAGCTTTAAACGGAGATTGATAATATCCGTTGCAGTATACACTTGTACTACTGAAATCTGCAGAGTATTATCCCGTACTAAGCTTACAACGTGGACTCCGCACTTGTTCAAGACTTGTGTAGACACAAGCACCTCAGGCGACAGAGCAATATTTTCCAAAAAATAATTTCTGTCAAAACCAAGTGCATTAAAAAATTCAAAAAAGACTTTTTTTTCTAGGCATCGAAAAGTAGGGCCACACCCACTTGTGGCATTTCTGTTTTTCGTTTTACTTTGCGTGAGGATATAATCTTTTTAAAAAAATTGTGTTTTTCATGATTGTAAAACCATCGTGAGGGCAATAACCTGAGCGATGTAACGCCTTTAGTGACCTTAATCAACGCTTTCATAATTGCTGCGTACTGGAGGTACTCTCTCACGCAGGAAAGGCCCTCCGTTACTGTTCACCCGTGCAAAGTTCATCACAAGCTATATGTAACCAAGCAGTAACGTGGACCACCAATATGTAATTTGTGTTGAACCCAGCATCCCACAAAAAAACTGACTAAAATGGTGCACGTTTCGCAATAAAAGGTGTTATTTAGAAAAGATGCTGCTTTGCAGTCTGGCTAGTTTTATAGGCGCCCATGTTAGTTCACAACAGAACAGATTGGAGATGCTCACGTGGGGTGCATTGAAGTTGACTGTGTGTGTGGGTTCTGCCTTCGTGTACGGTGGCGTTGATTGTGGTCGGGACAGATTGGATTTGCTCGTGGGTGAATCCAGTTAAGTGAGCGCTGGATTTGTGTGGAGTTACACTGGTGTTCGTGGAGTTACTGGATGGAGTTGCTGTGTGGACGCACGCAAACATGTGGGCGCCGATTTCGGTGATGAGCTGTGCGAAGTGTGCTTGCATTGTTTTGGGCTCCCCGTTTGTCCATTGTTATTTTTTGAGAGGAATGATGAAATAGCTGAAAGTAGTTCGTCTAGACGGCTTTGAGACTTTTGTATTGGGATGGCGACCTTTGGATACATGTTATTATTCACAATTAATTGCCAAATGTGAATATTTTTGTACTCTTTTTTTAATTTTGTTTTAGCAATCATGTTCTTGTGATTCCTAAAATCCCTCTCTTTAGGTTTGCTTCGGTTTCTTTGCGAGCTGCTCTTGTGCGCATGATGTTCGCTCCTCCCAAGTCGTGCTTTTAAACTGCCGCCTTAGTTGTTTTGACTGAAATTCGGCTAATCGAACCTGTGGTGGAATGAAGGAATAGAGCTAGAAGTGATGGGTTTTGGGCAGAAATAGTCTGGTTACCTTTGTGGTCATTCTTAGGCGATTTCGTCGAATACCCTCAAATCACGCTTTTGGTATGCCCAATCCTAACCTCTGTAGTCAGAGCTATTTGGCAGTCGGAACTCCTATGATATCCCAAGTAAAATATCTACAAGAATCTCAGGAGTGTTTTGTGGCAGTTTTTGTCAGCTGCAAAGTGTCTGGGCCTTGTCAAATAAGTCTTTGTTGGCAGCCAGTATTGCGGTTTTAGTTCTACTTTGCTCCGAATCGCTCTATAAACCCGTTTGTTTTCTATTTATGTTTTGGCAAAACTGGAGTGGCGGTTCTGTACACTCACCTTTGGGACTTTGCTTTAATATAGAAATGTCCTCTAGTAACATAAAAGTTACTTTTGGTTCCACAACTTTCTCTATTACATGTCTACCTTTTTAGACATCCTGTTTTCGTTATATTGTTGGAAAAGTCTGCCAATATCACTGTAGCGTAGAACTATGCTATTTTAGCGCCCTCTTATTCCTTGAAAGTTCCTCATTTTATAGCCTTTCGTAAAATGTCTTTGTAGGCTTTCTGTTTCTTCATTTGGTTTTCATCCGCAAGGGGCGTCACGAAACCACTTGGGCGGTCCTGCGTCGGTTCGGTTATGATAATCAGCTTCGACTCTCTAACGACTTCCTCTACCCAAAACTCGTCGTCCCACCCGGCTGCTCCACCGAACTCTCACAATTGGCCCTCCATTTCTTACATACTATCTTCACTAAGTATGACCTTGTGAGTACCCACCTAGTGTTATGTCTTATTTGTGGTATACGTCGTTGTCAGCTGCCCAGTCGTTGAGACCATCATTTACCCAATTCAAAAATTAGAATAATTCTCTTTGATTAATTTTAGCAATAATTATGTCGAGTGGGTTGCAGTGCCGGCCGCCAATTCCATTGATTCTTTTCAGTTTCAGCAAAAACTTAGGCGTATTGTTTGGGGCTTTTCAAATAGTGCAAGTGGTTATTCTGTTGGTAAAAAAATAGACGAAATTGAATGTCTTCAATTATTTTCTAATTCTCTCCTTAACAAAATTCTTATCGATATTTCTTAAGAAGGCGATGCTTAACCACTGGAAAATTTATATTGCTGCCAACGATTTCGTGTTGAGAATGGTATAATTTTAATTGAATTGTGGTAATTCATGAATTTATGATAATTAAACCTCTAAATTGAGTCATGCGAAACCCTGAGCTTTTATAACTGCACTTCTATACGATGCACTTACTATTTGCGGAACCATTTTAAGGGTAAGGAAAGCAAAATGGAGTCGCTAAATATTTTCCAGGAAAGCATTTTTTTCATCGTGAATGCAAGATAAAGCTGGTCCATTCAGTGCTGCAAAGCTTGTAGCCCTCTGCAGCAAGAATTCTTGTGTAGAGGCATACATGTATGTCCCTATTGTTGTTCTCTTTTTGCTAAGGACGGGGACGAGTGTCTGAGCCCAGCGGAGGTTGCCGAGCTCCTGGCCACGTGTCCCGAGGAGGCGCGGCTTTCTGGGGCTGTCGCCGGTGCCCAAGGTGTTGGCATCGAAGATCTTGGCCTGTGCGTGGAGACCAACATAAGGGGCTGGATCACTCGGCGTGGGTTTATGTCCCACTGGGCGTAAGTCTCCAATACTGAAGCCATCACAGGGAATCAAGGCGCAGCTCCAGTGACTTGAACTGCCGTTTAGCTACCACCACCACCACCACCACCACAACATCTACCGTCACTACTAGTACTAATGCTCCTACTACTACGACTATTACTACTAGCACTACTGCTACCACTACTACTATTACTACCACTACTAAGGCGGTGTACGACCTGTTGGGCTAAAGACCTTGGCGTCTTTTGGGTTGGCTATGTCGAATGCCTCGCTGCCGGGATAAGGAGCCGTCGTTAGACTACCACTTGGCTTCCTTCCATTCTGATAAAGTGCCGTGTATTTCGGGACCCAGATATTGTATTCTGTTGTGTGTAGCCTTCCCGCCAACTAATTAACAGTAAATTAAGAGTTTTAACTAGGTGTCCTGTTTGCCTCAAATGTAATGTGAGCCATTTGAACCAAAATCTTGATTCGTATTCCCATTTATTTGCCACAATAATCAGAACTATGTCATCAACTCAATTCTTACTGACTATCGCCTTTCCTTCTTTAGACTAACGGCTTTGCTGGAGCCAAGTCAAGCTCTCGAGTACCTTGCTTACTTGGGCTTCACCTACCAGACAGGATTCTGTTTCTTGGGAGCTGGTGATCACAACGGCAACCAGCCAGCACCGATTGAAAGTATCCTCAGCCTCTCTCCATCTTCTTCCACTGCGCTCCGGCAGGACTCACAAAATGCCTTTGGTTCGCTTACCCACGAGGCAGAAAGCTTATTGCGCGGGCTGGTGGTCACCTCAGAGCGTCGAATGGATTACATTCGACGTCAGACCAATCGAACGGTCTTTTACTGCCGGATTTACGGTGCAAGAAAAGTCGGAAAGGTATACTTCAAATCATGGCTCATCTAACATTAGTATTCATAATTTGTTAAGAAAATTTCCAGCACTGGGCCTAGGATAACGCATCTACACATCGACTTCTCACACCCCACTGCATCATCGTTGTCATTAATTTGATATTTTATAGACGTGCCTCCTTCAAGGTCTTCTGGGTCGTGGTTTACGAGGGCGTGGTGGGTTTGCTGTCGGTGGGACGACGGGACGAACGTCTTCTTGGGCAGCGGCCATGGGTATTCCGGTGTATGGCCAGCAGCGCACCCTGGTTCTGCAGGAGATAAGCGCTGGTCATGGCGAACAAATGACCGCTGGTGAGGCACTTTCCGCGGACGTTGCTTGTCTTCTCTACGACGTAACTGACGCCGAGTCGTTTCGCTACGTGGCCAACATTTTCCTGGTACTGTGTCTATAGTTGAGTGATGACTATGGCCTACGCCACTACATTAACGGTAGTAAATAGTATAAGAACAAAGTGACGACCTGTGTTGGGAATATTTTACCTGTGTTGAAAAAACATCTCATAACAAAGAAATCGAAAAAGCTCGAACTACAAACCTGATGTATGTGCTACTAATATCATAGGTGATTTAAGCCTTTATAAGAAAAACAGTATACATTAACAAGCGGAGAAGTGGCACTACTGGTCAGCAACTGCGTTGAGCAGGTCTTGACTAAATACGAATCTATTTTACAGTAAGCTTCGGCTTATGAGCAGCCATGTTAGTTCATTTGTTAATTCGCAATAGGACAGCTTGAAGGTGTTCACGTAGAGTACCTTGAAGCCCACTGTGTGTGTGTTTTGTCTTCGTGTACGATGACCTTTATTAATGTCGGGACAAATGGGTAGGCTTTGCACGAAGGTGAATCCAGTTAATTAAAATTGTGTTCTGTGTCTAGTTAAATTGGGCGGCAATTTCGGTGATGAGCTATGTGACATGTGCCTACATTGTTCCCGGATTCTGTGCGGTCTCGTAGCTGTCATTCAGGGCTCACTCGACGTTAGCGCACGTTTCGATTCTAGCAGAGGGTTAATTTCGATACTCTAGCGTGCTGTCTTGTCTGTAAATTGACCCGTTTCCATGAAAAGAAGAAGGTGGTGTCTGGTGTTCAAATGGAAAACCTACACATCTTGTTTTTTTTCTTCGACTCATAAGCTGATGATTCTTGCTTGAAATCAAGGCCTTTTTGAGCTGTTGTAGCATTTGTTGTGTAAACTTTGAATTGCGCGAAATGCTTGTCTTGAAAACTCGACAACTAGTACCTTGATATAGTTCTTTGAGGCCGTTTGAAAGCAGAAGTCTAAAACCCTCTTAAGTTGATCTCTGCATTTACGTGCGATTCCGTCATACCGATTTGCTTGTAGAACTTTTATCGTGGAACTCGTGTGCCATGCCTTTTCGTCGCTGGAAAGTCAGATCAGCCTTGTGTTTTGCAAAACTACTGTCTCGACCCCCAGGAATTGTGCGCGAAATACCGTCTATCCGAACCTATACCTTTTTCGTCACTTGACGTGAGGCCTCGATTTAATGTCCCTAACGATGGCAGAGGCTGTTATGAGAGCCCATCTTCAAATCGGCATCGAAGGAGCTCGGCGGACACGGTTAGTCAACGGCCTCCTTCCGCTGCCTCAAGTTCTTGGTTCTTGGACGACTCAGAATCGGAGGCCAGCCCACGCAGGTACTGGCAACGATAATTTGATGTCCTAGTCCAATTCGCACTTGTCATGTTCGCAACTTACGCTCAGCCACTTGTTTCATTTTGTGTACAGTTGATTGTGCAGACGCCTGATCCAGCAGATAAATTTTTGAGTAAGAAACAAAACCAAATGATGTTGTACTCTGGGTTCAGCTACCGACGTCCACGCAAGGTGGTGATGAGGCACTTTTTGTTAAATTCTCTTCACAGATCTCTGCATAACGGTGCGCCTCCGCCGTCGTCTCCACCGTCACAGCGCCTGCTCTCGGCCACTCGTGGTCGATCGTCCACACCCAACTGTTACACTCGATATAACCAAGAAACCACCAAACAGGTGGATATGCAGGATGGCGACTTCCACCTCGTCTATATCAAACTCGCCACAATGGCCAATTACCCGTAAGTCCACACAAAGCGTTATCCACTGTTCGTGTGGTCTGTGCAGTTGTGTTGGTAGTAGTTGCCAGGTTTTTGTGAGCCGAACGGGACCTTTCGGAAACTCCTCTTAAGTCGCGGACAGGCAACTTTCACTCATTGTCAATGTTGTCAAAAACGGTGATGTTTTATTTAGCATGTCGCATTCACTTTATGCCATAGTGTTTAAGCTTTCAATACTATAATCCATCTTAACTCGCAACTTGTAATTTGTATAACGTGTTGAGGCCAAATCCAGTGTTGTCAATGCCTCCTGCGCTGGCTTAGAAACCAAAGCAGGATAATATAAGCGTAAGTCAACCTCCACAAAAACGAATCCGTTAGTTCGCACCTTATTTACCATATGGTAGAGTCAAAATTCTAACATGACCCTGAATCAGATAATTACGATTCAGTACCCTCTCAAAGCCTAAGATAAAAGAATGCAAAAAAGGTGCCAAAAACCCATTCGGCAGCACGTTGCGCGCCTTGCTTTGAGGGACGTACTTTCGAAAGTGTCTGGGGCATACCTGTGCATGGTAACGGGAAATTATTTGGATATTCGAGGGCAGACCGTGTTCGTAGCTGACATGCACACTGAGTGAATAGAGCGTGCAGCCCCGTTAATTTAACGGATATTACAACGCCAACCGAGACCTCAACTAGATAGGTTTGTATTTGGACGTTTGCTCACCTAGGCAAATGAGTCTCAGAAAATCGGTACAGTGGCTACATGTACTGCATTAGGCTGACAATCAGCTCGTTAACTTGACGATATTCAATGTGTGTTGGTAAAATTCAAGCAAATCAGTCTCTTAGTCCTTGAAATCCTATTGGGCGGTTCTGTCCTCGCAGTTGAAGCTGCTTGGCATAGCTTATTTCTGCGTTGTTGTTTAAGACACGCGAGACGACTGGAGTTGGCGCGGCCGGACTACGCCTGGAAGCTGACACTCGCCGCCACCATCCTGGCGGGCTTCGGATTCGTCGCCTTTAGGATCGCAAAGCCGCACTTATAGGACCTGTTGCTCTCGACTAACTCCGACGCTCCCTCCACATGTACAAAAACGTTTTAGTTATTCTCTCGTTTCCTTGTACTAGAACTTGCCCCATTTCCTGTATAGAAAGACTAGTGTAGCTGACCCTAATCATCACTTAACTCGCTATATTTCGATTGTGTTGCTTCTTACTTGTTAGTTATGCATCTAAATGACAAGGTCTTCTTATAATGAAAACTTAAACAGGATTGTTTTCACATATCGACTCGACTGGCATTGATTGATTACAGATGCGTAAATCTTGGTCAGGTGCGGGAACTTAAATCCGCATGGTATACTTAACCCTTTCATTGCGTAAAGAAATCCGATTTACTCTGTCTAGTCTACTGTATATTTTTGCACTTTGTACAGGACGTTGAAACGAAAATGACGCAATGTTACACAAAAGTAAAAAAAGTACATGTAAAAATTACACAGCGCAAATACTCTAAATTGTCACGATGGGGTGAACAATTTAGCGGAACAGTGATTTTCGGGGCCGAAGTTTCACTCTATTCAACTGCTGTGATTGGGATTTATTATAGGGTTCCATCGCCTCTTCATTGATTTGTTTCGCACTTTGAAGACAATGTGAGAAGTTAAGAATCGGCGCTGCATTGAAAAGTCCCTTTTGGGGAGTTTTGGTAGTAGTTGAAGTCCTCTGTTTACAGGGTGAAAGCAGACTGGATCCGCTGTCTTCACAATAATATGGATTTGGACTGATCCTGTTAACAGTAAAAAAAAAACTAGGAGCCATCTTTGTTTAATGCCTTTTCCGGAAGACAGAACTACAATGTCTTAGCGTTAAGGCAGGGTTGGACTTGAACCAGTAATATTGAGGCTGCCTTGCCCTGGACAGCCATTACCTGTCCATATCAGATGGTTGAATTTGCAGAATTTGGGTGTTCGTTGAACATATGTAAGCAGGAAGGTACGCACGACTGCGAACCTTCAAATAAAAGTCGAAGACCTATTTGCAAGGTTTCGGAAATAGTGTTTACTTGCAAAGCTATTACGTCATGTATACCAATCTACTTCAACGGAAAGACGACAAGCGAGTTGGTGTGTTGACAAGAAATCAGGCAACGGATGAATTCGATTCAAAGTTCGGAGAACTGATGTAATCACGTGGACTGCAGCATAACGCATGGGGACGCAGTCGTCGACGTCAAAGTGGGGGGGGGTGGCAGGTTAGCAACCAAGTTAGGAGTGTAGCTGGGCTGCGAAAAGCGCGTTTATTCAAGCATAAAAGGCTGCGATTATGGTCAGAGGAAAACTGGGATGCCGATGAACGCTTATTCTTAAGTTCCCTAGCCTATTTTAAACGACTGAATGACTGATTGCATGATAGGTGATTATCGTTAGTCAAAATAGTCAACGTGAACACAGCATACCGCTGCTTAATAGAAATTTCCAGCCGTTTCTGCTTCGAATGGAAATTCATGCGCTAGGAATGATGGCAGAGACGAACAAATAACGTCGGTGACAACTGAAGAAAACGTGCTCATTATAAACATATTTTAGCAGAGAACAAGAGTAAGGCGATCTCATTGACCACTTTGTGTCTTAGGGTTCATGCAAGGATTGCTTAAAGTCGGTAAATTCGAGAACAGATTGTTGAAGTTTCCTTTGCTCGTAGTCAGAGAAATTCGACAGACTAGCTTCACAAAAAGTTGGCATCTCTCGATGATAAATTTTAAGAAGGTTGCACGATGCTCATTCGAGGCAACAATGCCCACAGATGAAGTTTTATGGGGAGGATTTCAGCGTCCCAGAATAAAACTCAAGCTATACTGAAAAAGCAAGAACTGTCCAGTAACTTGAAGCAATGATAGCGCATTCAAGTGCAAAAAAAACGAAAACTAGCGTCGACTTGTGTACTACTCCATTCTTCAGAGAACTTCGAAATAAGTTTAGACACGCGGTTGACATTTTGAGCATTATCTTCATTTGTTTTCTACATAAAATTCATTTTATATATACTCTAATGTGCCTTGGACCAAGAGTTTTCTGATTTCCCGGTTTCTCCTGACTACCTCAACGTAAGCATTATTACGTTCTAACTTACTCGAACCCAGAGGAGGATTCAATTCGTTCGTGGTAGTTTCGCAAACTGCTACTTGTACTGTGGTTGTCGATTGACGAGAGAGGCGTTCGTCGATCAGACATCCTGGGGGATAGGAGAACAGGTGTGCCGACGGTCCTGTCATTCGACGCAGGCTTGTACGGCGATTCCATCAAGGTGATTCGTTTCTTTGCTGGCACACAGACAGGCTCGTTTTGTTGGCGCTTTGTTCTAGCACACGAAACAATTACTTAAACAAAGGGTTCTGCATGTGCATGCACAAGAAATCGAGAAGAACGCGGTCGCACCGATACAACTAGACATAGTTGACCGGGTTGAGAATTGAAAACCCACGTCAAGAAATAGTCCTGAAAACAACCTCGGCCTCAGGTTCTTCGGTTAGAAACCACGAGGTATAGTGTTGCCCTGAAAACACCGAGATTCACCCAAGAAGCGCTTTGCATAAGCCTCGGAGAAAAAGAAGTCAAGACATTCGGCACAAAATCAACTCAACTCTTCATCACCATTCTCGACATTCCAAAACAGAGTCCACACTTGTTTGTCGTGCCACCGAGTTGGTCGGTCTGCGTGGAGGTGAACCGGCTTCCCACATTTCCAGGTGTTAACTCTTATTTACAGAGATGCGACATCTGCAGACGCGATGGACAGCAAGCCCAGTAACGTGTCCTTAGTTCATCAGGATTTTGGTCTATAAAGGCCGCATTCCGATAACCACCTGCTCATCTTAACAAGCACGATAAGGCAAGTAGGTGCCTGCCTCGCTTGGCCTTGGTGGTTGCAACAGGTTTGCTGCATTAAACTTGATATTCTTTCGGAACAACCCCCTTAGTCAATTCTGCGTCATGCGAAATTATCCTGACACCCCGTCATCTCCATTCACGACAACCAGTCTGGCCATTTTGAGGTCAGTTTCCCACACAGCATAGCAGAAGATGTATTTACCGTTGAAGGAGAGCAGTTTCCCGAGATGGTGTGGTCTGCCGAAGAAATTCGTCCTGCCCAAGAAACATGGCTGCCTCGTCGTAGACATGGGGGGAAATGGGCACTTCACGGAGGTCCGTGGTCAAGCCACGCGTCCGACGACTCTTTGGTGCTGTCGTCATCCCCGTCCCGGAAACCAGTGAGGATCGTAAAGTCGGTGTCGACAGCATAATCGGACTGGCCGTTTCGGCTAAGGATATAATGTGTTTTGGTGGTGTGGTCATGCAAGCATTGTTGTTGCTACTCGGAACGGGATTTGTATGCGGAGATGCTAGACGCATAATAAAGAGAAAGTTGATTAGTCACCAAGAAGGATAAACTTTTGAAGGCGACCAGTACAGTAAGGTTTGTTTATTCCTTCGAAAGCGTCATTATTGTGGAAAACTATTGGAGACCACTGACATACAAAAAAAGACCTAGAGGGTCCAAAAGAAGCACTTCAAAGGGTCTAACAGTGGTTACATTCGGCCTGATATATATGAATTTAATAAACTTATTTTAAGTGTTGTGAAAATTTGGCTTGCACTAGGCTTAATTACATTGCAAAATAAATGGAGAAAAAAAAATAAGAGGAATTACGAAAGTGGATATCAGTGTGGATTAGCAGGAGAGTATCACCTTTGTTACCTTGAAGTGACAAAATGGATGGAGATGATGCAATTGTATTGAGAGTTGGCCTTCTCGGGCTCTTTAACGAAGGCTGTGATGACTGTTGTAGGTTTGCTAACAGGTTGGAACTTTGTCGCCGAAAAAGAGATGGAGGCTGTGAGAGGGTTGAGAAAGTGCTCTCACCGCCAGAAAAGACTGAACCAAACTGACTCAGACTGGCTTCGTCCTCTTGCTGTTTCTTTTGCCATCTCTCTGCTCTTGACTGCAGACAAGAGTCAGAGCCACCTACTGACGAACACATTCGTTCACAATTAAGGAATGAGGAAGCTCGCCGGAGTCGACGTAGAGGGCTTCCAAGTGCAGCTCCCACCTCGGAAGGTTTTATCGGCGATTCGGCGACAATAACAGACTAAAGATTTAAATTCACAGTGCAAGGGATATTATCATCCATAAAGTAAAAGTTTAATATCAAACTCACATGATACTTAGTCTTTTCAGCGGCAGCCATTCGGGCACGTTCCCATCGTGGGTAAGACATTTTTGGATTTGGCGTTTCCTTAACGGATCGATATAAAGACTTGCGTTGGCAATTTTTGGATTGTTCACTTCTTCGCCTACTGGGCACCGACCTTCGTGTAGCTGAGCGGCGTTGTGGAGTTCCGCGTGATGTTCGTGCTTTGGGTGTCTTCAGTGATGCGCTTGAAAAGCAATTTAGTGATTTGGTTATGAAAGTTAAGGGCATAACACTGAGAAATACTCAAATGAAGAAACCAAGGTGTAAGGAAGAGTCGGGTGTACAGCGCGCGCCCAATGTTCCCAATCAACTTAGACATGACGTATTTACTCGAGGATTGATCAAATAATTTTCCTCAAATACATGAAAGAGAAAATGACATGCGTGCAACGAGAATTTCTGTTCAAATTACCTTCGAGAGGAAGCATCTGTTGCGAAGGATCTTTTATTGAGAGAAATATCCCGCTTGACTGGAGTTCTCGGTTTCCTCCGAGTTTTAGACGCAGATTCCTTTTTGCCCGATACCGACATTGGTATTAAAACCAATTGGGGAGCCGGTGTGACAGCTTTTGATCGAGGATTATTCTCCGTCTCAACCCGAATAGATGATTGCGAAAACGAGGTGGATGCGAAACTGCACCTATTATGGAAAAATCGCAGTGTAATATTTTAAATAGTAGAGTTAACACTCCACTTACATCGAGGAAGTTAGTGAGTTAGATGAACATGGTGTTGCTTTCTGGGGAGAAACAACAACGGATTCTGTAAAGAGTGCCCTTGGTAGGGAATTCCTTGCAGCATTTCGTGAGCTTCGTGGAGACAAAATCTGGCTACACAAAAAAGGTGCGGTGAGGTATTTAGAAAACTGCATATTATTTAGAAAACTATATATATGTAGATACCTAATTGGCGTTTTGGGGGACTTTCTTGAAGTATTGCTTTCATGTAGATTAAAGGTTGGGGACTCAGAAGTGTCGGATGTTTCAGAAGATGTTTCAATATTTGGAAGGCACGACGGCGGTTCAAGACCAATGTTCAAGTAAATTTGCGCGAGTGTTTTTCCATAGGAGCCACCGAATCTATTACATAAAATCTACGACAAGTAGACTAACCTATCAACGAGGTCCTTTTTGATAAACTGCCTCCAGTCAGATCGACTAAGCGAACATATTCCTAATCTTTCCAACAATTCAGCCGCCTTGAATAAGCAAGAATAATCAAGACGACAGCATACCCAATCGCTCAGTTCAAAGTCAATAGATTCAGAGTCGTAGTAAGGTAACGACTTCATAAACTCAAACTGCACCATCAACAAAAATTTCATGCTAAGAAATAAATATTCCAATAGGAGCTAACTGTCTCTCAATGGTCTCTGGTGTTATATTCGCAGACATTATGCTTTGTATATCTAGACGCAACTTGCTGATGCAATCGGTGGCCTATATTATATGGGATTGAAAATAAATGAGAATTTAAATCATTACATTATCTGAAGTTCTCAGAACCTCCAGAAATTTAACCGCGTCATCATAAGGATCGTTTGTAGATCTGTATATGATTTCGTCATAAAGTTGTGAAATGCTAGAATCCCCAAAGATTTTTTCGGCCATTAGCCAGCCTGAAACGTCGATAAGTGAACGACAAGGTCAACAGGAGACAGCTGATCAATGAATAGATGGGCTGAGTCACCTAATGCTGCAGATTTCATTCAACATAGATAAGATTATTTATTTAAAAAGGCATTCAGGTTATCTAACCGCAACGTACACGCATAATCATAATTGTCAATGTAAAAATATGTGAATCTCATGATTGTGCCATACATATTTTAATGAACATTATGGCTCTCAAATATAAATAAAATTCGATTGAAATAAATCAATTCTTGTCTAAACATATCTATTTAATCTTTAAGGATGCTATGGACCTGTTAGTGACATGAACTTAAAGCATGATTGCTTCCAAATGCCTTTTCAATAGGTTTAGTTGCTCGATTTAATAAATTTTAATTGTTTCATGTAATTATACTAATCTTATTTACACCAACGTATTAAGAGGTACATTCTTGTGAGATTACTATAATTTTCGTCTGTCCGTAAATGCGGTCAATAATTCAGTAATCTTTGAAAATTACAGAATCTACTATAAATTGTATAATTTTATAGAGAGATGACTGTTAAAATACGAACAAGGTACCACATTTACCTTAAAGACTACTCGTATAACAATATCTGTTAAATGTCAGCCTGATTTACATTAAAAAAATCCCTATTTTAAAAATGGGTCGCTGCAAAGAAAATTGCCAACATATGTATTTATATATACGTTTCGCCGGAATTGTTGTGGTGTCTATATTACCATCGAAACCAATACTTGGTCAGCTTAATTAATTAATTGATTTAGTCAAAGGGGATATCGATGTATTTGCAATGCATTATATCGTAATACACTGTACTCAGGGTATTTACATAAAAATGTCCACAAATGACATTCAAATACGTTATTCGCTTCATTTTGGATAAATCTGCCTTAGATATGACCAATAAGTTTTTAGTGGACCTTGGTCTTATTGCTTAAAGAAGTTCGGCAATATGATTAGCTTGTGTTTTATGACAAAATTATTGTAGTTTGTACGAAAAGAAAGGTATAAGTCAAGAGCAGCAGCAGTACTGGCTTTATTAACAAATCACAATCCAGAACAACACATTAGGCATCGTCCATCCAGGTCCCCCCCTGACTACATCGCACATTATATACTGATCCTCATTCGTGTCTGCCTCTGAGTGGCTGCATAAAGTCCACGCATGCCATTCAAGCACAAAGAGGCAGTGGAATGGCTGTGGCCAGCGTGCTTTTGCATGTCTGGGCCCTAATTAGTCGGTACACATTTGTGAAATATCAGAGCCCGAGTCTGAAGAAGACTGGTACAACAGAGCAGGCTTTATTGACCAATCACAAGCCAGAGTCACACGTCAGGCGCCCTCCATCCGAGTCCACCACACTGGCCACGCCGCCCATTATATATTACACCTCCTTCGTGTACATCTCTGGCTGGCTGCTAATCTTCCTCGCATGCCATTGAATCGCAGAGAGACATAGGATTTGCTGAGGCCAGGATTGTCCAATATTTCTGTGCCCTGATCTGTTGCCACACTGCCTCGCCCTCAGGAGTGAAGCTGTCCTCAGCTTCTGGATTGGTTCCTTGCACTGTTCATGATTGGTAAAATATCCCGTTCGACACTCTCGGCAACCCACATCTGGCAGGCTAGTGGCACATGCGATTAGATGACGAGAGACTTTGTTCTTGTAGACTTGCAGGAAGGACTCTTCATCCATCGTAGGTCCATTTGCAGTTGCAGTCCAGCTGGGATCTACTGTCCATGTCATCGTCGCTGAGTTGCCAATGCCTCTTAAGATGCAGAAGTCCTAATCCCGAACAATAACTATGGATCTAGTGCATGGGACATCGGATGACCGCCATGAGAACTTCAGCTGGCATTTAAGGGTCTTTGCCGCTGTTGACCATTTTAAGGTATGGGCTGGGGTTCGATTCGCGTTATTCGAACGCATCCACTGCTACGAATGTAGAATTCCCGAGCCCTAGTAGGAAGAAGGCTGGTACAACAGAACAGACTTCATTGACCAATCACAAGTTAGGGCCACACATCAGGCGCATTCCATCCGAGTCCGCCACGCTGGCCACACCGCTCACTATATATTGCACCCCATTCGTGTCCTTCTCTGGTTGGCTGCTTATCTTCCTGGCATGCCATTGGAACGCAGAGGAACACAGGATTGGCTGAGGCCAGGTGGTCCAATATGTCTGCGCCCAAATGCGTCGCGACACCGCCTTCGATGCAAATGTAGAATACCCGAGCCCTAGTAGGTAAAAGACTGGTACAACAGAACAGGCTTTATTGACCAATCACAAGCCAGAGCCACGCATCAGGCGCCTTCCATCCGAGTCAGCCACGCTGGCCACGCCGCTCATTATATACTGCACCTCAGTCATGTCCTTCTCTGGTTGGCTGTTTATCTTCCTCGCATGCCATTGGAACACAGAGCGACACAGGATTGGCTGAGGCCAGGTGGTCCAATATGTCTGCGCCCTAATCTGACGCCACTGTAGAATACCCGAGCCCTAG